GCGAACACGGCGCGACCTGGATTGATAAAATTACCATTACATGCAGCTATCATGCCAGTGATTTCTCCTTTCGTCGCATAGTGAATAGTTTGTGAGCACATCCTCGACTCTCGAAACATTTGTCTTGCGCCGCTTTCGAAGTTGCTTCTCCCGCGAACCATAGGTAGATTTCCCGCTTAACATAATGTTTGATAATTTATGCAAAAGTTGACCTCGTGAAAGTCAGCAGTGCATTAATCGACTCAAAAATAAACAGACTTCCTAGAGGGTTTTGAACACGGTTTTAATTAAGGTACTTTACGAGCGCTGCGGTAGTTGACCGCAAAAGTGTTACGGTGATGGATACTCAACTGGATGATTACGTCACTTCATAGCAACCAGACGGTACGAATTTTTTAACTTCCGGAGCGCTGAGGCTCGTAGTGCCCCTCCCTCTCCCTCCCCTTTCGACGCCTGAGGCTAAGTGGCTTAATTCTTTCGCCTCATATGCGGAACATCAGCATTACACAGATTCTTTCTAGATAACCTGCTATCAGGGTTTTTTTTTTCGAACAAAAAGGGAAGAAGGACACCTGATCCCAGGTTACTCTCTAGACGACTTCCTGTGTTCAGTCTTCCTGAAGGATGGTAGCCTCCCACGCAGGCGTTCTTAGGGGAGCTCGTGTTTCTTCCCTCCCCACCAATAACCAATGGGGAGGGAAGAAATACGAGCTCCCCTAAAAACGCCTGCGTGGGAGGCTAGAAGGATGGAGGCCCGCGCACGATTCCTAATCATCGATTCACGTAACATTCTACAATTTTATACAGAGTGAGATGCTACAATAATTCAGTCTTGATTAATCTAATTGTGCTCAGTGATTCAAGAACCACCAAAATGGCGAATCAGAGACTATAATTAGAAAATGATGCTATGAAAGTTCGAACTTCCGCTGTATTATTTTACTGTAATTACTTGTGTAAGAGTTGTTACTCCAAAGATAAAAAATAATAATATAGTTATATCAGGGGCACCCAAAGACAATTTTTGGAAAATATCTGTTCGGAAGACGATAGATCTAGAATTTTTGGAACATTTGTTGTAAAATTTCTTGCCTCTCTTAGAGCTTCCTAGGATTTTCGAACATCTAAAAAATGGTATAATTGCCCATTTTTGACGGATTTTTACCCTAGAAAGGTCGCCTAGAATTCTCGGGAGACCTTTTTCTGGCTGAAATTTTCGAAAAGGTAAGTTTTGATCCCTATAATTTTCGGATCACTAGACTTTCAGCTACGAAATGCGAACACATGAAACATTTTTAGGGGATAAATATACCTACCGTTTAAAACTAAAATACGTTAAACAATAAAATTATAAAATCACTCTGATTGGCTCAGAGGAGCGATTGCATGAGAGTATGTAAACATGGTTGTGGCGTCAAGATGTTTTGCTTTGCGCGCTAATCACACGCAAGCACGAATTGGAAAAAGTTTTCAAGTTCAAAACTCGACAAGTTTACTTTATTTACCCATTCCTTCGTCGGCTGAAACTTGGAAAATCGTTACAAAGAAAGTGTGTCAATTTTTTTTTTCGCTTAAGCAGACATTATAAGCAAGAAAAGTCCGTATTTTAGAAGGCATCTTTTTGCAAAACAAGAACTGATTACGCGTGCAAGACTTCGTGGACAAGACTTTGCGACTGGTAAGAATTTCTCTTTTAATCAGTGCCACACAAAGAGTTTTGCGTTATTTCTCGGGAAATTTATTTTATAAAAGCAATAGAAAACTTTTTTCCTGTGTTTGTATAGCCT